CCTCCCATCTCTTCTAAGCGAGGTCGAGGGAATACAACACGCACTATATGCGGACGATATCACAATCTGGACCAACACCGGCTCCTTAGCGCAAATCGAAGAACGCCTGCAAAAGGCTGCCCTTCTGGTGGACACCTACGCAGGTTCATGCGGCCTGGAGTGCTCTCCAGCTAAATCGGCTCTTCTTTCAGTCTCTCCGCTACCGCCGCCTCAAATTTTTCTTCTGTCCGGGCCCGTCCCGTCAGTGCAAAATATTCGGGTTCTTGGCCTTCACCTCACATCGTCCTTGGATCCAAAGGGCATAATAGCAGGCCTCAGACGCACCAGCGAACAGGTGAGCCGCATGATACGGCGAGTGTCTACCAAGCGCGGCGGCCTCCGCGGGTCTCAGTCCCTCCGATTGGCCCACGCGTTTGTGACCAGTCGCGTCCTCTACGCCTTGCCTTACCTTCGCCTGCGTCGTAGACACGAGCACCAGCTGGACGTCCTTCTTCGTTCAGTATACAAACGCGCTCTGGACCTACCTATTGCAACTTCCAACAGCCGATTCACGGCTCTGGGGGTACACAACACCTTTGCAGAGATGCGCGAAGCTCATCGCGTTAACCAAATCAATCGACTGTCGCAGACGCCTTCAGGGCGCCGTCTTCTACACAGACTTGGCCTTAACCCGATATCTGACCAAGACCCTCTGGAGCCGGTACCAGAGCTCTGGCGTCAAAAGCTATGGGTGGAACCTCTACCCCGTAATATGAACCCCGACCTCCATCCTGGCCGTAGACTAGCACGCGCCGCGGCCCTTCATACGCGACACTCCGATCGTCCTGGTGTTTTCTACGTGGACGTCTCGGGTCCCTCCCCCTCGGGTCACTTCACGGCTGCCGTGATTACAGAGGGCAAACACGTAGATGGCCTCTCCTTTCGAGCAGACACAGCAACGCACGCTGAAGAGGTTGCCATAGCTTTGGCCGCCTCTCACCCTGCCTCACGCACCATCCTGACGGACTCGCGCTCAGCCTGTTCTCAGTACCTTCAGGGTTCCATTGCTCCGCTGGCGGCTAGCCTACTACAGGCAGCCTCTTGGCGCTTTAACCCTCATCCCATTCGTATAGTGTGGACCCCAGGCCACTCGGGCCTGCCCGGCAACGAGGCGGCAAATGCCGCTGCCCGCGCTTCTCCTGTCCGGGCCGTTGCCCCTCCATGTCCCGAGACGGAATCTGGCAATACCAACCTGACGCGCTTTCGCGAAATTTTGGCTTATTACCGGGCTTCGCGCCGCCTCTACCCGGACCCCGCACGCGGTTTGGAGAAAGCGGACGAACGACTGCTACGCCGCCTGCAGACGAACACCTTTATCAGTCCGGCGGTCGCCAGGCACTTTTTGCCGGAAATCAATGGCACCTGCTCGACCTGTCATGTGCTCGCCGACACATATCACGTCGTAGCATCGTGCCCAGTTAATCCCGTCCCTTTCTCATCCCCTTTTCCTATCCCAACTAGAGAGGCTTGGGAGGAGCACCTGCTCGGCTGCTCTACCTTGGCTGCACAACGCTCCTTGGTGGAGCGCGCAAGGGCAGCTTCCAGCTCCACTGGCGTCCCGGAATAGGGTCTTGCCACTCTAGCACGCCGATGGGCCACGTCGGCACTCTCTAGTAAACTTTTTCTGAAATAAATGTTTTTTACCACCACCACCTCTCAAACAAGTCACAACACTTTATTGCGTTTTGGTGTTGCCGCAGCGAAAGAGGCTTATCCGTATAGTAACCTTTTACATTACTCTGTGGCTGACGGGCGGAAGTAGAACACAAGGGGTGCCGCGAGTACGCCTCCATGGGCAAAATGATTCACGGTAACACGCCGCTTAGGGAAACGGGCACTCGCGACTATGGAGCGCGCTCTCACGATCAGTGACAACAGGGTCCGATCACTCGAGCGAAGGCAAACTCTACTCACGTTGACTTTGAGAGGTACGGGTCGGCGTATATATAATGACCACGCACGAACACACCACATCGCTCTTCAGCCTAGCGTTTGGAAGGGGCAACGAAAGGTAAGCATTCGCCGCGAGCGCAGGGCACCGTTTCCGAGTCCAAGCGAGCTCCAACGGCCGGAAACAAAAGGCGTGCTCACCCTTCGATGTCCAGAGGGGCCCTCTCACCCGTTCTGTCACTCTAAATTCCCACAATCTGCATTATGTCACCGTCTATGGTCCCTTGAAAGTAGGTTGGCGTCAATGTCGTTTAAGTAGTCCCATCGGAGTGACAACTTGAAAGCAAGTAGACCAGTTGCCGTACAAGTAGTGCCGTTTTAATGGGAGATTGAGAGCAACTGGTACTACTTTCAAATCCACTTCGCAGCAAGTGGGACCACTTCAACGGACTACTTGAATTCCCACTTGAAAGCAAGTGGGACCACTTCAATGGCCACCTGAAAGCATGTGACCACTTGGACCACATGAAATGTTACATCATATTTTCGCCTAGGCTATGAGGTGACCGTCGTGCTCTGTGCAGCTCGCTACAATTACGAATCGGCTTTAGACTCAGAGCAAAATGTGAGAGTGAATTCAGCCCAATTTCGAAAAACATGCCGAAATAATCAATGATGAAGGCTTAGTGGGGCGCTCCATGAACGTCGGAGGACCTATATTTTGTGTTTGTGAGTTGTTGCTTATCTTCTGTAGCTGGCGCGATTTGACCATGTGGCAGCGACGCTGCATGTTATTCGGCACTACGCTACGCTCTTGCTCTTCGAGTTACCGGACTAAACTAAAGAATTATTCTAAACTCCTGTTGCATAGCCCCAAAAGCAGGCATTTCTTCTTCCTTCGCCAGTTGTTGACACACCAGGCACGTCGACTGGCGATCGGTGACAGGTTTAGCAACTAACTGCAAAAACAAATCTCAACTTTGCTACGTAATTATATATATATATATATATATATATATATATAGTTGATAATCATGCAAGACGGCGGACCTATGCGCTACTCTGCTCCCTCGGGAGCATATACTGAAGTGACTCTAGTCACAGATCAATATTTCTTTCTCTCCTTCTGCATCCCCAACAAAGGTGCGGAGAGGGAAAGGAAAGGGGAATACATCCCCCGAGTTGAACAAACAATAAAGTTGGTGTCAAGACTCTCAGAAACACGCTTTGTCCCTGCGTCACCTGTGCATACCAACAACATCATTGCCTTTTGTCTATTAGTTGATGGTGTAGTGGTCGTGTGAGGTCCACGACGTAGAACAGTTCAAAAACATTGCAGAGACGGTTTCAAATGAATAAGAATTCTCCATTTTAGAGGTGCTTCCTCAACAATCCTGTGGAGGGCCGCGTACTACAAGGCTGTCGATGTTGTTTTTTGAGATGTTTAAAATTCGATGCTTTCAGCTTTTCATACACTTTAAAAAACTGAGGAAGCACATGTCACAAGTTTTCGATGGAAACAAATCTAGTTTATTGTCAAAAACATATATGTCCACGTACACTTCGTTTTTTTCCCTACCTGTGTGAATGTGTGTGCTGTGAAACAGAAGTACAAGTGTTAGGCAATATAATTTTCTATAAAGCATACTTTATCTACAAATACCCTTATATGTACATCACAAACACATAGTATTTCAACCTCATAATAAGGTTGTGATGATTTTGTGTATGGCCTTTACAAAACAATTATTTTTCAGTAATATTATTAGAAAGTGTAATACGCATCACTTGCACGAGCGCAGTGTCTGCTCCAATCAAGAAAACCTAGTTTGAAATACTTGTCTTCTTATGTACAGAAGTAAAATTTGGAGCATCAGTTAAATACAAAATATAGGCTTGGGCTTATAAAATTATACCCAACAATACAATAAGTGGAACATTTGGGTAGGCTTTATTATATGGAATACATTTCTATTAAACTGCATTTACCTCCTGCTTCATGAGTCATGTGACGAGTTAAAAACAGGATGAAGTGCTCCCAAGAAAGCTGCTTGAAGGACTTGCCAATCAGGTTCATCATCAAATTTACGGTCAACGCTCGCTGCTTTGCTTGCAGACACTAAATGCCACACTCATGGAAATTTTACATTTGTGCTCACCATGGAATATAACAGTTTTTTTAGCACAGGCACACAGTCTAAAAAGACTCTATAGAAGAATAAGTGCGAGCAGGCATTTAAACTAAATGAGGACTCAGTGTAAAGTATTTTAAACTGAAGTATGTTAGCCATGTAATGTGGGCACGCTTGTGAGCTAAGTATTAACGCATGCCACTCTGCTATCTGCTAGAACTCCTTAAGCAATAAAATTGCTGGTGTGATATAAATTACTCCAAAAAAGGTTAAAACTTATTTATCACATCAGTACAATGTGTCAACTAAATAACCAAGAGAACCCCATGCTAAGTATCCTGGCTAGAAGTAATTTATTTGGGCATAAATACTGTTAAAGTACTTTGTATTTTATTTGTATTCTATTATTTTCATTGAGTGACCAACAAAGAATTTGCTTCACTAATTTTATAATGCAGAAAAAATGTATATATATATATATATATAGTGGGAGTAATAATTCAATGGGCCAGTTAGTCTTCGTGAAGGTATGGGATATGGCGCAACGGGAGCGTTGTCAACAAGGATAAATATATTTATTTCCCAACAGTTTCGGGAAGGGTCCTCCCTTCATCAGGGGATGATACCCTGATGAAGGGAGGACCCCTCCCGGAACTGTTGGGAAATAAATATATTTATTCTTGTTGACAACGCTCCCGTTGTGCCATATTCCATACCTATATATATATATATATATATATATATATATATATATATATATATGTTAAACTAACCTAGCAGGAAGAAAAGTGGACATATTTAGATAGTGCACCCTTGATGGTTTTCTGAGTGTTGCCATTTCCTGCATCGAGCATTTCCTAGAGCAGCATGCAAAGTTATAATTTTTATATGCTAAGAACGTACGCAGTAAAATATTTGTGACAGTAAATTAGGCTATGCTAACAAGTACCAAAAACTTTATTAATGGCTTGTGGATTATAAATTGCAGGGTTTCATATAACTCACACAAACAGAACAAATCAGACATGCCGGGTTTTGTTTTTGCTAACCTAAGTCAGTCCAAGAGAAAACTCATAATAACATAATACTTTGAATGTGTGACACTTCTTAGTAAAGGAGCAATCAGCTTCTTTTAGATTAACATTATGTCCAGAGTCTACCCTTAGTGTTGCAAGAGTTCTCTCTTGTAATGAACATAGACTGCTCTTAATCATGATAGCCTAAAGATTCAGGACCTTTCTTATTACAGCCATTGAATGTCTCAAGGTAAGCTTAAGTCATTTGATGAATAAAACAGCTCGTACATGCAAGTATTAGGTGGCATATTTTATTTTACTATTTCTTAACGTTTCATTCTGCCGTGGATGTGCATTCAATAAAGTCCAAAAGCCCGCATTGCATCATACCACGTGTTTGTCCCTAAACTATACATGCAGATATATTAACAATGGCACGCAAAAGAGACAGTTGCATAATACATCAATTAAGGACATAAATTGTGTGCAATGATCATTCTCGATTAGTATCAGGAGTCTTTCGTACTGCAGCGCTTTTGGTGGTTCTATGTAAATTCTTCATCCTTACAACAACCAAATGCAAAAACAGCAAGGTAGAAGACTGTAGCAGCCTTAAAAGCCATGCATCTACAAGAACCACACTGTCATAGCCTACCACTTGGTACGTACCACTATGCACTTTGCAAGTATGAATCTTGTGGCATGTTACTACTATTACCAAAGCTGCTATGTCAAATGCCATCTGCTTGCCTCACAGAGACAATATTCGCATGTCACAAACAACACCTTTGTAAGTCATCGGTGCCAACGTGTGAGAAGCCCATTTAATTTTTTTTTTTTTTGCACCTGTGTTGACTGTAATATGCCCGCAAAGTTCGTGCTTGCTACGACTTTCCGTGAGTGGTCACATCACAAAAAGAATACTCATAAACAGCTTTGTAATGCAGCGTCCGCATGTTTGTATAATAAGCTCATGTGTTTGAAAAAAAAATCATTGCACACACAATACCCAAGCACAGATTGGGTTTCTTGCATGTGGGCACTTCCTAATAGTGCCTGTGCAATGCATGCCAACTGTGGTATTTCATTTTGAAATGTGTAGTAGATCAATAGCCAGCCAGCGACCACTCAACACAGACACTTGGAACTGGAAATACGTCCCCAACAGTGCTAACAAGTGACGTCTATCCTGGTTCTGTCACGTGGTAATGCCACCTTACGATATCAGTGTGTTTCTTCTTTTCCATGAGTGTTGCTCGCATAAATACAGAGAAGTCGGGCTGTTATGTACAAAGACGTAAGACGCACAATAAAGTAATAAATACTTAGTCTTCCTTTTCTGTGCTGCATGCACTTGTGTGAACAGGAACCTACCAAGACAGAAAGAGGTCACAGTAAACTACAACAGGAAGGTTCTTGACCAGGGCAAGAACGGGGGAAGTGTGTGGAGAGATGCACTTTCCAAATGCCATCTTCAGACAGACAGGAGTTCTCGTCCCTACAGACTGTGCTCAAAGATGCACTGATGCCAAGCTGAGTCTGCTGTCCACTGAGATGCTGCAAACCTGGTCCATGCTGTCTGTGCAGTGTGACTCGTTGTCCAGAGAGCTAGAATTAAAACAAAAAATTGGCATTTTGAACAAAACATTTGTGTGCCTTCAACACTTGTAAATATGCTAACATGTATTTCTTTGTTGCAACTTTTTCAATTATCTAATGCATTAGCAAACTGAAGCTTCCCATACACATGCATTGGTGAATGAGTATTTAACAAAAAAAAATGTCCTGGTACAAGACTGTGGCATTACAGCTTGATCCAGATAGTGGCAATTTTTTAGACTATTCTTATTTTCTGTTCTTTAATGATGATGTAAACGCCACTTGTTCTTGTGCTTTTTGATAAAGGTCTTTGTTGGTCCCTTATATCACTATGAATATGTACTACAAGAACATTTGTCTTATTTGAGAACAAGGTCAATTATATTTAGGCACACAAATGGGTGCTCACACTGACACTTCCACAGAAGATTTTCTTTTTTTGTGGGGGAGGAGGGGAAGGGCCGGCACTTCTTGAAGCATGTCCATGAAGTGCTCGTACGCCATAATTTCTCACATACAACCCAGCCCAGGTTATAACTTGCACTTAGAAAAAAAAACAATTGAAACTATTTTGCACTTTGAACTTGAACTGCCAAAAAAGAAAAAAAAAACAATTGAAACTATTGGGAACTATCAATTGGTGCAAATGAAGCAAAACTGCAATTCGGCTTAGTTGGAACATATCCATCTTGAAATCTTTACGCAAGCACACAGGGACACAGAAAGGAAGACAAACGGGTGCAATCCAACAAATGGTGTATTTTAAATACACAACTTAAAATAAACCAGTTGTTGGATTGCACCCGTTTGTCTTGCTTTCTGTGTCCCTGTGTGCTTGCGCAAAAATTTCAAGATGGTCCAAATGGTAATATTGATTTCCAACTGGGCCAATGGTATTCCCAACAGGTCCATTTGAAATTTCCAAATGGTTCAAGGTGATGTGCTCAATTCCAATTGGGCCAAATGGGTTCACTAAGGGGACATTGTAGATCAACTGAAATTACCAAATGACATCGCTTGAGCCAAATGGGAGCTCCCAATTGGAAGCTCACTTCCAATTGAAAAATCGAATACCCAACTGAACCATTTAGTTCAAGTAGGAACTGCCAAATGGAATCACTCGTGACTCGTTCTTAATTAGGCCAGGCAATTTCAATGAAAGTTTCTGTGTGCAAATTAATCAATGAACTGGGTAATTGATCAAGTGCTTCAACTTCGTTTACTTGCGACTTATATATACACATGGGAAACAAGTGTACACTTAAGGGCTTGTTTTTTGTGTTTTTTACACAATATTAATGAGATCTAACAGACAATAATGCCAAGAAAGATATAGGGGAAGTTATTAGGCCAATTATAATGTAAATCAGAAGAAAGAAAAGTGGGTGAAAAGATAACTTGCCGTAGGCAGGATCCACGGCAAGTTTTACACACACACACACACACACACACACACACACACACACACACACACACACACACACACACACACACACACCACACACACACACACACACACACACACACCACACACACACACACACACACACACACACACACACACACACACACACACACACACACACACACACACACACACACACACACACACACACACACACACACACACACACACACACACACACACACACACACACACACACTTTCCATGTGTAGAGTAACGTACGTTGAATGAATTTTAATGCTGTGAGAGAGGGTACGCGTGATATAAGGTGCCCCGCATAAGTTTTTGCAAAAATATTGCTAGGAGAAAGCGAACTTTTATTTGACGTTTCCTGCATACCTGTGCATGAATGACACGAAATCTACTGGTCATTACGTCACACTGAGCTGTTGCGCAAGTACCTAATGTTTAAAGCATAATGGTCAATTGCTTTCCTGCGCGAAGGTTTTTTTTTCCTAATCAGCACTCGTTATCTGCCATGACCAGAGTGCAGTGAACTTTGCGTTGTCGTGACGAAGACCACAGTGTCAGCATTTTTGTTGACAACAACTTATGTCGCATTTCAATAGCATTAGTCCCGTATTTTTTTTGATGGTTTCTATTACAAAAGTAAAATAGTCATGTATTTTATAATATAAATACTACATTAAAAAGTAAGTTGCATTTTTTATTTACAGGTAACAACATTGCAGGTGGTGCTCAAACATTATTATGACACTGTAGTTTGGGCCATGGTTCTGGTAGTTTCGCACATAGCGCGCAGCAAGTCATTGATGCTCTCTTTCCGTGTATGCATGCGGCATGTTCTATCGTGCAGCGCGTTTGCCAAAAGAACCTTAGTGACATTAATATGCGACATTTATTTTTGGTCGCTTTTATATGTGGAAAGTGTCGCAAGTCAAGACGAGCATGTTCTAGCGGTTTTTTGGTCTTGTGTTGGTCGTACCCTGCGGTGATCACTTCACCAGGGTTGATTGAGGATCATTGTGGTTTCCTCAGCTCTGCTTCTTCCATGTAAGTATTGCAGTTTATGCGAACGTTTGTGCTGAGTATTTGTGTTCTCTATTATAAACACTGTGTCAATGTATACCTTACTGCAGTATGCGATGAAAAGCGCGAAGCGCACTATATGCTGGTTAGTGTAAGCATCCAACTGGGTTGTGTGCGCGGTTTGTGCATAAAGTGATGCGTCGACAACGTGTGTGCCCTGTGCGTGCCAAGCTGCGCCGCATTCCTCTTCTTCTCCGTGAGCAAGTCTCTGCGGAACTGTCTCGCCTTCAAGCCGGCGGAATCATCGAGCCTGTCTCTGCTTCCGACTGGGTTTCTCCACTGGTCGTCGTCAAGAAAAAAGATGGATCCCTTCGACTATGCGTCGACTTACGAGAACCGAACAAGGCGATCGTCGTAGACGGGTTTCCACTTCCTCACATTGAAGAACTGCTTCATCAGCTCTCCGGAGCTGTATGTTTCTCCAAGCTGGACCTCGCGTCCGCTTATCACCAAGTTGAACTTTCTGAGTGCAGTATAGACTTAACCACATTTGTATCGCAAGAAGGCTTGTTTTGGTTTCGCCGTTTGTGTTTTAAGCTTGCATCTGCCCCTGCAGTGTTTCAGAAAATGATGTCAATTATTCTTAAGGGTTGTAATGGCGCCCTTTGTTACTTGGATGACATTTTGGTGTGGGGACGTACTCGCGAAGAGCACGATGCTAACTTGCATACTGTTCTCAACCGCATCAGTGAATGTGGTATGAAACTTAATAACAAGTGCATTTTTTCTGTGAATGAGTTACAATTTCTAGGACATAATGTCAGTTCCCGCGGCTTGACACCTGTTGAATCTAAAGTTCAGGCCATTGTCAATGCCCCACGGCCTACTGATATTAAAACCTTGCAATCTTTTTTAGGTCTTGTTGGTTATTATGCCAAGTTTCTTCCTCACTATGCTGATGTTGTTGAACCACTGCGTACTCTACTTCGTCAAGCACAGCCTTTTAACTGGTCAGCTGAAGCTGAGCAGAGCTTCATTCAAGTTAAGTCAATACTGGCCTCAAATCCACCTGTTAGTATTTTCAATGAGAAGCTTCCCATCGTCATCACGACGGATGCGTCCGATGTTGAACTGGGAGCAGTGTTTCAACAACTCAGAGATGATCAGCTGATCACTATCGCTTTTGCATCTCGTACATTGACCCCTGCTGAACGCATATGTTCAGTAGGAGAGCGCGAAGCTCTCGCGTGTCTTTTTGCCTGTGAGAAATGGCATGTTTACTTGTGGGGCCGGCACTTCACATTACGTACAGATCACCAAGCACTAGTTGCTCTTCTTTCTGCAGGATCCGAAGGTCGCCGCCCCATTCGCATTTCCCATTGGTGTGCCAAACTTATGTATTATAATTTCAGTGTTCAATATTGCAAAGGTTCTAATAACGTGGTTGCTGATGCACTGTCGCGCCTTCCTCTTCAGATACCAGTTACTGAAGAGCGGGATGAGGAAGTTGTTTCATTAGCTACTTCCTGCATTCCTAAAGCTGAGCTTCAGGCAGCTACAGCTGCAGATTCCACTTTGTCTCAAGTTCTCAAATATTTACGTGAAGGATGGCCTTCCAAATGTGCTCTTGCTTCTGAATTCTTGCCTTACTTCGCAGTCCGACAGGAACTGTCTTGTGTCGAGGACTTGCTTTTCCGCGATGAACGCGTGATTCCCCCTGCTTCTTTCCGTAACAAGCTAACACAACTTGCCCATGAGGCCCATCCAGGCATTGTCCGCACCAAACAGAATCTCCGAGACAGGTACTGGTGGCCAGCCTTAGACAAGCAGGTAGAGCATGCAGTTTACAACTGCCATATATGTCAGGCAGCTGACAAGTCTGCCAAACCTGAATTTTCTCCGTTGCAGCCAGTCCAGTGGCCTGATCGGCCTTGGCAGAAACTCGGCATGGACATCATCGGTCCTTTGCATAATGTTCCGCAAAATGCCCGGTTCACTGTTTCTCTCATCGACTACCATTCCAAATGGCCAGAAATTTGTTTCCCACATACGGTTACTTCTGAGGTCATCATTGAGTTTCTGTCTTCAATTTTCAGCCGGGAAGGTTTTCCTGATGCCATAGTTACGGACAATGGTCCACAGTTTCAATCCCAACATTTCGAGGCCTTTCTTTCACAACGAGGAATTCAGCACTTGAGGTCATCAGTTTTCTATCCCCAATCAAATGGGCAAATCGAGCACTTTATTCGCGTTCTGAAGGAACATATCCAGATCGCCATATTAGAGCACCGTCCCCTCAAGCAAGTCTTGACTGAATGTTTAGCTTCGTACAGGTTCACACCACAAGGCACCACTGGAGTGTCTCCTGTTCAACTTCTCCACGGTAGGCAACCGCGAGTTGCTCTCGACATAGTCTCTTTGCCTCGTAACATAGCAGTGTCTTTTCCTGATCAAATCCGTACCAGAGTTTTTTCTCATCAACAAGCAATGAAAACGTGTGTCGACACCCGTCGAGGTGCAAAGCAGTCCAAAGTTCGCACTGGCGATCTAACCA